AAACTTATACTAAAAAGCAAGCATAGAAAATAGTTTGTACTTACACATCGGTTCCCGCTTGCACTCTAAATAGTCAAGGGTAGCTTAAAACTTAATTTACTTAAAAACACGAACTGTGCATGATAACTGAAACTTGAACTACTGGCGCGAATATGCCGCTAACACTATCTATATACGTGTAAAAACTAATGACGTCATTGCTACGCAACAAATTGACGAATCTGAAAGAATCAAGATTACTCAATTAATTAGAGAAGCCTCGATATAGTGTTTATTACAACAAAAATAAGATCAAATTTCATGCGAATCCAGGGCTTTGGGCAACCAGGCCCTGCAGTAATAAGACATTATGTCCTAACAAGACGTGCCATTGGTCAGTCTAAAACTCGACTCTGACCAACTAACTTGACTGCTCCATGCTCAGGTTTGGCAAGCACTTGAAAATTCAGCAAATATATTTAGAATCAAGCAAGTAAACCTGTCACCATTTTGCCACTAACCTTGAGCTTTTTATGTCGTTATTTAGCCACGCCATTATGAGAGGCCTGGCTCTTAGCCTGAAATTCAACGACGATTACTTCCACGACAAATTCAACCCAGCCTTCCCTCTGCTAGCTTTGTGGCACTACCCACCCGTCCCCGAAGAGTCAGACTCCTGGGGGGTGGGACCTCACACGGATTACGGTGTGTTGACGATACTTATGCAAGATGACGTAGGAGGACTGCAGGTGGAGACAAATGGAGGGAACTGGATCGATGTTACTCCAATTCCAGGTGAAAACACTAATTTCTTTCTTTCATAAATGGTTGCCAATTAAAAATTCTTCTGTAAGTATTACAATTAGCCCAACTAACCTCGTTTTTGAGTTGATAATTCAAAAGAATTTCTACTCTCAAACGAGGTTAGTTGGGCTAATTTAAATGCGTACAAAAGAATTTTAAATTGGCAGCCATTTATGAATAGGGTCTATAACGTGGTCAAAGTAGGTGCGGACGATAAGCAAATTGTCAAATTGTCCGATCTCGCTCGTTGACGCATCTCATAAATTAACATATAGATTTAGCCAAGCCTAAAAGCGAGGCTCTTGAGCCGGGTTGTTCAAAGCCCGATTAAGCTAACCCAGGGTAAGCGAGAATTTTGATTAGAGTTATGTAACTTTGCGGTGAGATTTTCTGTTTTTATATAATAAATTAACAATAGCCTCCATTTGGCGCGAAAATAAGCTCGGATATTTGTCCGTGGGCATTGTCTGTTCTGAGAAGCGAACAGTTTTCCGAGAACGTAGTTCGAGGAAAACTGCATGTGAGCTTTGAGGAGCAGATAATGTCCAAGGACAAATATCCGAGCATATTTTCGCGCCAAATGGAGGCTTTTGTGTTTATTATCCTTCAAATATATTGCGCAACACGCACGGTTTTGAAAATCGGGGAATATCTTTCTGATATTCACCAGTTTTGGCTGGGGAACATTCAGTCACGTGATGCGTTTAGACCAATCGCGCGTGAGCGAAATATTTGATGGATTATAATCCTGAAGAGACCCACGGCAACATGGAATCTATTCGTTAAATATTGTTTGGCCTTGTACTTTGAGTTTGAATAATCTCAAAATACACAAAACAAAAGCAGTGATAAATGTTTGTATACAAGAAAAATTTATACTTCGGTTCACTTTTAATCCTGGGTTAGCGTTAACCGGCTTCCGAACAACCCGGCCCTGGTTACAGCAAGTTAACCTGACATAAGCCCGCGATGCAATCGAAAGCCAGCAGTTGGTCAGTGGTCAATTTCGAAAAAAAAAATTGACGTCGATGAGCTCTAAACTGGAGCCCGCGATATGGTCACGTAAAATGGTCTCGCGGTTGAGTTTGATGTTGGTTTACGCCTTGCTCCAAGGATTTTCCTCCCTCCACAAAGACCAACACTCCAAATCTCAATTCGACCAGGATAGAGGACCCACATAGAAACCAGCTAGAGCTAATGTGGGTTCCTCTCTAAATATTACAAGTTATCTTTCAGTTATGTTATTTTCAGAGGGCCCGCCTATTATTTTATAATGCGGGAATGATATGAATGGTTACTGAAGGAAGATAAACCATAGATGATCTCAAGGTACACAGAATGCGTTATAACTGAAACAGAATAGGAGCACTATTTCAAATAAACGCATTGACGGGGGTGCGCTTATTCGAAGGGAGGCATTTATTGGAACAAGGTCGCTATATGATGTGAATCATTACTGTAATAACTTTGTTTGCCAATCAACGCGGCTTACGTCTTCTTCACGTGTGTGGTTGGGCACCGCTGTCAGAAAAGCTTGATTGTGTAAACCGAGCTTAAAACCAACAGCCACCTTCTTACTCTTCGATCACAAGCGGTCTCAGTGGATAGTAGATGTTGTAAGGAATCAAACAGAGCTGGTCCTTATCAAAACTGAGATAATGCGAATCAAAAAAATTCTAAAAGAAAGATATTCATGGTGTGTTAATATACCTTTAATCAATTCCACACTGGTCAGTTGACAAGTGTCACTGTAAACTGCAGAGTTCCATTCCGATTCCAATCGCTTAGTTTGCACCGAATAACAACTTTTGCAGGAAATCTCACTATATAAGTATTCTTTTGCCTTCGTCTGCCGTAGGAACATTTGTAGTCAACATTGGTGACGTGATGGAAGCCTGGACCGAGGGACAATTTCGAGCCACAATGCACCGGGTGAAGAACTCGACATCCAAACATCGGATCTCCGCACCATTCTTTTTCCAGCCGAGACTTGATTGCGTCATCACACCACTTGATGACGTCATAGCCACTGACAGCGCTGGTAAAGACACAAGCACAAAGCTGGCGCTCCACAAGCCTTTTAAGTTTGGAGAATATGTCTTAAACAAGTTTGAAAAATCGTATGGTGATAATTAGGAAACTGGCCTGTTATGAACCTGGTCTGAAAAGTTATCAGTAACATAATATAAAGGACAAAGTTACTGAATACAGACAAAGGGCATTTATTTTTAGAGTTTTGTCCGTCTCGGGAAAGCAACTCCAAATATTCCCGACGGCCACCTGAAGACCTTCGAAGAATCTAAAGTTTTTTCTAAGACTGCCGAAGTTGGCCCGAAGGCTTCCAAAATATGACCCGAAGGTTTCCGATTATTCCCGAAAATCTCCCGAAGAAGATTTTTGAAATAGTCAAAACATCAGCAAATATTTTTGAAAGTCTCCCGATGTCTTTTTCGTGCTAATTTTGCCTTTTGTGTCATTAACAAGTAAACTAATGTTTCCAGTGTCAAATTGGCAAATCGCCCTCGACGCGTAGTCGGCTGGAAATATTTTGAAAACACACATGTTAAGGTTCACTTTCCACGGACCATTCTCTATTCTTCTGAGCTCTGAATTCTTAGTTTGGCACGTGACGTCATCGCCGCCATATTGGATGCCGTTAACAGAAGACTTCCGTCATCTAACATGGCCGCCAGGAATTTGTCATTTGAATCTCTCGGATGGGTAGCAGGCCCTCAATCCCGTGTTATACAGTGACCTACAGTAGTTTGTCAATCGATTGTCCACCGTAAGTTTGCTTTGGTTGTTTTTACTAGAGCACTAGCCGGGGAACACTGATGGGTTTCTGCCTGAGATATCTGTCTACGTTTCGAGGCTCCTCTTGCAGCACTGGAGCTGTCCTGTGCTATTAATAATAATTTAACAAATCGAATGTGGTTTAGCGTTGTCTGTACTCTTATCAACAACGATATGCGTCAGCACAGTGGTCGAAATGTTGTGGACTCACGAGGCGCAAGTGAGTCCACGACAAATTTTGACCACTGTGATGACGCGTATCGTTGTCGATAAGAGTACAGACAACGCTAAACCCCATTCGATTTGTTTTTTACCACAATATCAACGTCAAAGAAAATGTTTTTTTCAGAGCGCGAGCTGAAAAAGGCATTGCGTGACACATTGACGCGAGCAGCGTTGTCTGGACTCTTGGCAAATTAGCCATTCAGATTGCAAGATTAGCAGCAATTGTGGTAAAAAAAAAACAATATTGTGACTTGCTCATCAAAAAAGCACTGTTTTGGATTCGACGTCGAGCCTCTTCCCCTTGCCCCCCTGCCGCACCCAAACCGGGTCTCCCCTATTTCTCTAAGGGTCATCTTTCTGAGACCACCTCACCACTTGCATAAATATCGAATCCCAGACACAAAATAGATATATTACCTCTCATTTTAATAGTTATACGTCTTTTTCTCTCACTTTTTTGTTATATTTACAGCAATACTGCTGTACGAACCCTTCTTCGAAATATTCCATACTTGTGTGGCACGGAAAGCATTATAAATCACGTTCCTAATGATCTCTTAGCCTATGGAGGGAACCTTTTCTTTTGTATCACCAAAACCAAGGTCGAGTGAGGTAATTACAAGGTTAAAGTTATTTAAGGTCCCCTGCTAGAAACTGTTCATTTAATACATTTGTAGTAGCCTTGCTGTTTTGAAGCAGTTATTCGTCTTTTTTTACCAGTTCCCAAATAAAGGTGAGTCCAGTGGAGTCGGCGGAGATAAAGTTTCTTCCCGCAAAACAGCACGTAAGGATACCACCCTGGTGTTGGTTTTCCCTGCAAAGGAAAAACGCACATCACAAATTAATAAGAAGGAGGAAAACATAGAGAATAAAACTTAGGTTGTGTCCTAACGGTTTCGTGTTCTGTTGGTCAGCTCTTTTAACCGGCGTGAAATTCAGTTGAAACAGATGATTTAGCAAACTCTTCCCAGTACAACCAAATCAACTTAAAACGGTTGATATCAAGATAACACGGCCAAACTGTTATTATCAACCGTTCAGAACCGAAAACGGGAAGAAAAGAGCGGCTCAACTGACATCAAGCCTAATCGCTGTATAGAAATGGTTTTTCCAAAAATAACACTATCTTAGTCGGTGAAAGCAACCGGTTCAGTGTACGTAATCACAGTCACAGCGGTTGTTTACCATTTACCCCCAAGTTCCGGAAATTTCGCGGTCAGAATGTAAATGGTAAGACACTTTTGGCTCGAAATAAACGGAACGTTTACTTCTATTTTATTTTCACAGGGCCTCACAGAATACTGTACCACTTTTCAGTGATGTGAGCCCCCTGTATAAAGATTGTTATTATTCTTATGTCTTGAACGGTAGTCCAAAATTTCCAGCCGAAATTTCCAAGTGGAAAATATGCTGACCATTTGCAACTCTTCGCCACCACCTTGGATTGAACTCGTCCGGTAAATTGTTTTTGTTGTTGTTGTTGTTTGAGTAAATTGTAAATGGCCAATCCGAACTAAACTTACCATCAGCCATTTTTGCTCACCATTTGCACAAACTGTCGAAGAACTAGTTTCTCCATGTAAATGGTAAACAACCAGTAACACGAGACAACCTCAACACGAGGAAGAGGCTCAGTTCCTCTCCACAATACGGTTCTCGCATGAGTCTGACATGTTTGTGAACGGTTTGTGAATTATCTAAAGAGAAAGCCTGTTCCTTTTAAGATCTTTCATCCTCAGTAGGCTTAGAATGTCACTGGTAGTGTACGTAGAGGAAGCCCAAAGTTACACTGGAAAATGATGCTAGAGGGTAGATATGAAGAAAGCTGGTTTTGCGAAGGCTTGAAATGCCACCTCTAGCTGGCTGAAACGAACAAACAAACCATCTACAAAGAATGACTACACTATATATTTCTGCAGTTTGGCCAGACTACGTAGGCAGCTGTGATATCTTTTGTATGGAGTCGGAGCTTCATTATTAGAATCAACCTTCGAGTTCACCTCTAAATCGAAAGAAAGGGGAACGGTAAACATCGTTGTTTTTCGTTCTCATTCACTATCTGGTGCTATGCGGTACGGATGAATCCTAACAAGCACACAGTGCGTACAGGTTCTGGCTAAACCGCGGAAATTTTTTTTTTCTTTAACAATGTCGGACAAAAGCAGTTGAGACACTTAGAAAATTACCATTTTCGATATTTAACCTCTTATTCTATTTCAGTTACATCTCAGCGTTGATTCTCTAATACCCCCGGTCCCCCAATTCAATGTTGAGTAGGTTCTGTGGTCTGTGCAGTCACCAGTCTTTGGGGGAAAGGGGACGGGTGGGGGAATGTTTCCAAGACGCTCGAAAAACGAATTTCACTACGAAGTGTCTCAACACTTTTGTCGCTCATTATAGCTTTTAAATGGTTTATTTTGACTTAAATCACGCAGAGCTAAATAGAGGAAGATTGGAGAGAGCACGTATTTCTATTCTTGACTAATCAGATCGTTTACAGGTCCGCCTTAACGAGATTAAAAGGTCGTGCGCTGAACTAAGCAAAAACATACCGGGTATTGTGCCAAGTGCTCCAGGAATTCTTTCCTATAGAGTCCCAGATGTTGATCGTCGCGTCAGATGCCACGCCCACAATGTACCTGCCATCCGGGATAAAGGAAATGGCCTGTCGAGGACAAACACGGTGTAATGTCAGAAAGAAAATCACAGCTATTACTTATAGAGTTAGGTCAAAAGCCTAAGCTTGTTCTGGTCAGCCGGGTGCAAATTTTCTCCTTGGACATTATCTGTTCCTCAAAGCTCACAGTTTTATTCGAGCTACGCTCTCGGAAAACCGTTCACTTCTCAGAACAAAGAATGTCCGCGGACAAATATCCTAGCATATTTTCGCTCAAGATGGAGGCTATAGACGGGTTCACGCTCTTAGTTGCATCATGGGTAATCAGTGCCGGTAAAATTTACAAAGAAGCAAAGCTATAAAACATACGTTTTTCTTTATATTTCCGTTCCGATTTCACATTTGGACACGAAACATATCCTGGAGATGGAGAAACCCCTTTTCTAGGTTTACCAGCGTTTTTGAGCCGATCGAGTGATTGTTGTGGGCGTAGGAATTCTTTTACGGTTAAAACCAAATAATTTGATCAAGCCGCTCAAGCCACAAAAATAATATCTCCGATATTCTGGTAAGTAGGCTAATGCCCAACTCAATCGACTCAAAAACGCTAGTAACCGTAGAAAAGGGGTTTCTCTATTTACAGTAAAAGTTTCTTCTCGAAAATGAAACTCAGAGCGGAAATATGAAGAAAACCGTATCTTTTGCCGCTTTGTTTCTTTACAATCTTGCCCTTTTTACACATGATGCAACTAAGAGCGTGAACCTGTCTATTGTTTACATATTAAACGGTATAAAAGCTCATTTTAAACCTTCAGTTGCTTGTCAGTGCTTCTCAAATCCACACCGTTCTCGGCTTCATAACTGCATCCGTGCATCGTCCAAAACGTCACTCTGTTGCCAGCTAGGGAAGCAAACACCGGATCAACCGGCGAAAAAATCACGCTTTTCACCGGTGAGGTAAATTCCGGCAGCGTTGTGGCGCACTGCCAGTCGTTGTCTTGTCTCCATGCTCGGATGGTCCTGTCGTCCGAGCCCGTAAGAACTACAGCACCATCACGAGAGAACTGAACAAAATTTACTGCGGCGGTGTGCCCGACCAGTTGTTTCACATCCCCTCCGGGAACAAATTCCCCCGCTCCGGGTCGTATCTTGTACAATCGAGCGGTCTTGTCGCGAGAAGCCGAGGCCAAAAACTTGCCATCTTTGGAGAAGGCACAGTGAAGGACAACATCCGAATGCAGCTCTGTTATTTTAAAAAAAGTGACGAAATATTATAACAAGTCATTTCTCTGCGTTTAAATTCAAGATATATATCAACATGACGTTTGAAAGACCGAGAACACTCTAGGATGAGCTTATCATAGGTAGGTACGTTAACCCGGCGTATCTAATCGAACGTTCGGTAATCGAACCCGATCGAACACCAATCGTTCGATTGGGTTGTGTAATCATCACACTATATTTTGGTCAATCTAACAAAATCGAACGGTCGACAGTCCTACTCAATCAAACGTGCGATTACTAACTCCTGTTTGTTTTTCTGTCTGTTTGTTTGTTTTTGGACGTTTTTCTAGGTTGATTAGATTACTCCTGCGCGATTTACTTATCAAGAAATGGAATCCGAACAAAACTGAATCGGATTGATTTCATTTGCATTCGATTTTGTTTGATTGGTTCGATAATCGAACTCACAGCAAAATAGATGTTCGATTCTGTTCGATTACCGAACTCAATGATCGAACAATTGGTGTCCTATTGGGATCGATTGAATTTTGGTTCGATTTTGTGCGATTTGATACGCCGGGAGGTTAATTAACATTTCATAATGTGTCACGTCGTGAAGTAACCACACTCTTTGTATTATATTCGGGAGATGGGGGGGGNAGGGCTCTACAAACCCGTTTGAAATGAGCTACAGCAGAGTCAATAGAGAATACGGTTTTTATATTTTTAGCTTTGAAACATCATGATAAATCGAATGCGTTTAATTTTAAACTAGAGTGGGGCTTATAATAGACCAGAAGCCATAATCGGGGACGGAGACCGTAAGTCTTGGGATCCGCGCGCACCTATGATATGGGACAATTTTTCTATTTTCAGAACAAATTGCGCCATC